CCGGATTGTTCAATAGAGGCCGGTTGGCCAAAGGGGGTGAATTAGAATGGAGTCAACGAAAAGCGAGCAGTGTGTACGGATTTCAAGGAGATAACGGGGTGATACAGTATACAAGGCTATGGGGGTGTGAGTGCACACGTGAAGAGATGACAATGATGATCGGGGTGTAAGGACAGCGCATCGCGCAACCGAGAAACGCATGTAAATAATCAACGCCGGAGACACACAGAGAGAGAACGAAACTGCAAACATATGGTGATCTTTTTGGGTCTAGGTGGATAGGTTATTTAGGGGTTTGAAAATAAAAATGACAACTATATAAAGCGCACGAGTGGCAGAAATAAATAAAAAAAAAATAAAACCTGCCCAAAACAATAGGGTTTATCCGATGAACGTTCAAAGCACAACATTTCCGGGGATTCGTATAACGGGTTGTTGACAAATCGGGAATCGAACGAAGCAAGAATACATAGTTTAGTCAAAGTTAATGACATGATGGATGAATCAAAGAAACGATTTACAAAAATTTTAAAATAAAGACCTGGAAACTAGAATGAATACGTCACGAAATTCGTCATATTCAAAGCAAAATAAATGTGAACTTGATTTAGACCAACCATTGCTCAGACTTCGTCTCCTCGTATCAACCTCGGTTTTTCCAGTCAATCACATTTCGAGGAATCACGTAATTCCAGTTTCACTCTTATCCGAACTCATCAGTTGTACTTATTCAACGAATGGAATTACAGACAGTTAACCGCGTCTCATTTCTGGTAGGCTTTCGGACTGAATAGCAATCATTGAAGTCTGGTGAACTAAAACAAGAGCAAAACCTAAGTTGTCTATTGCTTCTCGAGTCTGTGGGTAATTGGATGAGCAGAAAATTGTGCATGCAAATGAAATCCGAAGACGGTGGATCCAAATCGCTTTGTTATGTACGATGAAATTCATCTTGCAGTCGAACTCAGATAAATTATCGTCTCATTTGCGATTAATACCAAGTTCAAATATTCGCACTTAACCCATAGTTACTTGTGAGTAGTGGTGTGGGATAGTCGATATTGATTGATTTGCCTTCGAACTCCACCTTCACGCACAATTCTCAGTTCATCGATTCAACCATACACTCGAAAGCACTAAACTCGAGTTTCGCTTTTATTAGAGCTGATCAGTAGTGCGTACCCACCGTCCCGTTTGGGATTTGAACTCCAGACCCATCGCATGAAAGGCGGGTGCGTTACCACTGTGCCAACCAGCTCATACCATAGCTGAACCGAATTGACAACTCATGTTTGTTCAGGTGTTGTTTTCAGTGAGCCCTGATAAGAGCAAAACTCGAGTCTAGTGTTTCCGAGTGTATGGTTGACGGAAAGAGCTCAGAAATGTGCGTGACGATGAAGTCCGAGGGATGGTCAATCAAGTCAATCAAAATCTAAAATATTTCATTGTTTTTTTAACGTTTCATGCGAGTAATGGTGCTAGGTTTAGCATTACAGCTCTCTCTCTCTCTCTGTCTCCTCGCAAACCAGATGATGATCAGACTTATACAGATCGCTCTATGTGAATTTTTTGGGAACGAATCAAACTCGTTGTTTTAATGTGAAATCATTTGAGGTGAATAAAACGGAATGATTATTTTCTGGTCCGTAATTCTACACTCTGATGTAATAACCCGTGTGTGTGTGTGTGTGTGACATCGTAGATAGCAGAAAGAATTCCATTCAGTTAGACGGATAATACCGATCGATGAATCAGTTTGGGGGAGGGGAGAAGATTGTGAAACGATAAACCCCTTGATGAATTTTATTGATTATTACTGAAAAGCAGATACTCCTCTTCATGCGTGTGAATGCCTACCGCCTCGGATTTGAACATCTTCCCATCATTCTCGGTGATTGAAACTGCTCTAGGAAAGCTCTTCTGATTCGCTTTTCATTCCTATGGATGTTACCCGCGGGGTTCCACAAGAATCTGTGCTTGATCCGAGACTTTTCCTAACATTCATAAACAACCTACTGAGGGCTCTGGGGCCGAAATCATTACTGTTTTCAGATACAGTGATACAACCAGCTGGCACTCCAGCTGAAAGCTGAAAGCAACTCATTTCTGGTCTCTTGTGAATGACATTGAATTCAGTGTACCAAAGTGTAAGGTTCTATCCCTGCTACACAAGGGGAGATTTTCGTATTTCTTCGGAAATGAACAACTGCTGCACGCCTCAAGTGAAAAGAACCTGGACATCATGATTCAAGAAATCTTAGGATGCTTACTCAACTGTACCAAGGTGTCGAACGTAGCTGTAAAGAATATCAGTTTCCTTGGGCGGGTCTTTGGATGGTTTGAGTCAGTGCTTTTCCCTCTTCTGCTATCAGCATACATTGGCCCAATCACAGAGTACGCTATCCAGGCTTGGAATCTATGGCTACAACGCGATTGCAAAATGCTGGAGCGTGCACAAGGGATGGCCACCAAAATGATAATGGGGTCTAATCGCTATTCATACGCTGAGAGACTGGGGTCGTTGAGGTTATATTTCAATCACTAGCGGTGCATCAGAAGAGATATGAGTATGATATACCAAATAATGCAAAGCCCAAGCCATGCGTGTCGCCCCCTGTTAAAATTATCAACCAACGCTCAGCTTAGAGAAAATCCGTTCAAATTAGTGGTCTCAAAATACCGATTGGAATGCCAGCGTCAGTCATTCGCAGTCACAGTGTGTTCGATCTGGAAATCTCTCCTACCCCACATCGTCTGTGCGCCAAACATTGAATCTTTCAAACTGAGACTTGAGGAAGCATTAGTACATGTTACATTCCAACGTAAGTGAAGCTGCGTGCAGCAGTGGAAGAAGCTCGTATCATGCGACATTTTTGACAAGGAACCGTATGCATCACTGCTTTTTTAACCACAACACGAACCTATGGGATAAGAAAAGTATGAACTTGTAAGTTGTTCCCATACTAAGCTTTATTGTGTGATGAAAACGGAAAACGTAACCGGGTTTACTACATTATTGTACATGACAACAACTATTGTAGAAAAATGTAGCCGGCGGTAGGTGTACTTCGGGACGAGTACCGGGGCGCACGCTGAAACGGGAAACTCACCTCTTCTCTACGCAGACGACCGGTCGGTTTCACTGGGGTAGGTGGACTTACACCGGGTAGAGTCACGTTGGCCTCCGGTGAGCCGGGTTCCACAAATCGTAAACGACGTCCACCCGGTGGTGGAGCCAAATCCAAACCTTGTTCAATCCAAACGGGGCCGACCAGACCTTGACGTTCGAAGAAGCGAGGATGCAGTTGTCCACCACAGAATCCCACATGGCTACCGTTTAGGTCATCCGTCCCTGTCAACTCGGTCGAGAAATCGACAAGCCTAAATGGGACAGGGGAAGGGAATAGAATTAAATTGTCCAATAAAATCATTGAGCTTATCAGTAAGTTGTTTAATTTTTATCAACAAAATATCTTTTATTTTCATTCATTTTTTTCTGTTAGGTGCGTTACTGAATCAGTATTTATTTTTCAAGAAATCAGAGGTAAGCAATCGATAGATTACGGTGCAATACAAAGAGCAAATTGAAGTCTACGATAGTGAATAGGTTCTGCTACATGATGATCTTTGGGAAGATAAGGGGGAGATGTTACCCGATTATTATTACCAGCGCCGTCCAGCACCACCAGTACCACCAACACCATCACTACAAGTTTGAAAGTAAAACAATAAAAATATGCCGCCTGGTCTGGTTATGCGTACTACATACAATATGTTATGCGTTCAAAGTTACAAATACAACTCAGACCATTTTCATGAACATATCAATATTGAATGAGCATAATAATATCAATACTTTATTCCATCAAAAAAGGTATATCAGTCGATAGAACTGTCTCTTCTCTGAAGAATAATTCGACCGTTTGTGACGCTCGGTCTCAAATCTTCGTCAGCGCTGAGAACGCACGAGGCACAGTCTGTTATCTTTGCAGAGACCTTGAAACCGCAATATCTAACTAAATAAGAGTAGTATTCAGGTCCTCCTCACCACCACTACCACTACCACTGCCACCATCACCTTCATTATGACTTCTCTTCTTGATCTACGGGGAGAATCGTGGAGCAAAGTTCACGAACTGACTCATTCCTTATGTAAAGAGCAACCCGAAGGTAGGTGGTATATTCCGATCGGGAGCAGTCTTGCTTCATAGCCCTACTTTGATGCAACCCAAAGCAGTGTTTTGATAGACCGCCTCCCTATTCCTCAAGGGTACGCTAAATTAGCACCATATGCTCACTGCCATTGTAGGCAAACACTATGAAAGATATTTTAGCAACGCTCGCCAAGTTTTACTTGTCTTGGAACCAGTTTACAAAACATGTACTCGTTTTTAGCCAGTACACTTTCGACACTTTCAGTTTTCTCACACGACTGTATTGTTCAGGACTTCATCCCGAATGTTGTTTTTGTCGGACCAGAGTGAGATATTGCTTGTTCTGTGTCTGTTAGCTGTACTCTAAACTGTCAAATTATTTGAATCCGAATTTGGTCTGTTTCTGGAAATTGTGAACAAAAAAAGAAACCTTTTTGTTGGCAGCATGTTATACACAAAAGAATGTTGACTAGCCGACCAAAAACACGTTAGACAAAATTAATCGCTACCTTAGTGACATATGTACGCATCATGTTACGAAAGTATCACCCAGCTTAAGGGTGTCATACCAACCAACGTTCGTTGCTAATTATTCCTAAGTGTATATACGATTGTCCACAAAATGAAATAGACCGGGATAAAACTTACTATCAAGAGTACAAGTTTTGGAATGGATGATGAAAGGATCATCAAATATTGATGTTTGATGAGCGGCAAAAACGGAGAAACCGGGCGTGTGCTTCAAAGATTATCGAGGCAAGTTCGCAGAAGCGGTGAGCATTCGTCTGCGCAACCCTCCTCTGTGCGCCCAAAAACAATTTGTGCAAGCGCTAAGGCTTTCCGTCCCCCCTCCCCACACTGCATCACGAGTAATCTCGATGATCGGATGAGTGGACAAACAAACATGTGCTCGTGGTGTTAGGACGGAGCGCACAGAATCCATCCGGCCACGTATCGACCCGCATCACACCACATGGGCATTCTTGACGCCCAAGCCGAATCGATATCGGATTGGATGACAAAGGCGAATCAAATAGCTGTCGTCCGATCGACCAATCGGAGTATCAAGGTCACAACCTGATTGATGCGTCATCAGGTCGATTTTCGTAGGCCCAATTCACCACCTATATTTGCGAATTGCTTCATGATCAATAATATACGCTGACTGTCGTTTTCTCAGCCGTGTGTTTCTCCCCAGTTGTCGGGCCTAGTCAAGCGGCGCTCAACTCGATCATGCAATTGACGTAAGAGATAACATGTTGTGAACCCGATTTTCGGTTTCACGACTAAATCGGTTCTAGCCGTTTGTGAATTTGTTTTGTTTTATTTCCAAAGAATTTTATTCCCAAGTAGTGATATATAAATAAATATAAACATATTTATATATATATATATATATTGGCATGAATACAAATCTCTGAAAACGAGCTTGTTCGACTCTCTGTCGTTTTGTTTGAAATGTGCTCTGTAGGAATATTTCATCCCGTCATTTATGTCCTAATTATCATAAAATCTAAGCCTGAAACGAAAACCTAATCTATTGGAGGAGGAGGGCTTTCAACTAAAGTTATCAAGGATCATACTGATTGTCTCCTTTTGAGGCTGTTATACCAGTTACCACCATTAAAGATAAGACCTTCAATCGATCATGCTCACCAACCGATATGCAAGCTTGTTCGCACAATGGTAGTACAACTTTCGTGTATGTCATCCGGAATTTGATTCTCTGGTGGGACGATGAACAAGTGCTTCTGATAAGCTTGAAAGTTAGCGAAATATGAATTCATTGCCCTCCCAGTGTACGATTGGTTAGATGAACTAAGGATAACACACGACGAGTTATTCGCCGCAAAGGTGATTCGTTAAAATCAATACACACACGATCGTAATGCAACAGAAAGGTCATGGGCAGATCAGCTATTAAACCTTCAGTCTTGATGGTTCCTTTGTAGGAACTTTCAATGCTTATTTTTATATCAGACTTTCCAATTTTCGATTCATTTGCAAAAAGGAGTAAAATGGATCATGCCGGGTTAATTAGTGATGATTAGCATGATTCAGTATGTTTAAAGAACAGCAGGATTTGGGAAGAACATCTGCTAAAATTGATCGATCTGCTTACTTTCGACCAATCACCAAATAGTTGATTGTGATTGGTTGACTGATTTTTGTGTGTGGACCAACCAAAATTTGTTGAACTTGGGCATCGCTCATCTGACGCGGGATAGTCCAACTTTGCACTACACGCTGATCGTAGAGAACATACAATTGTCGGGAATCCGAGCCACCGAAATGCAGTGTGACTGCGACTTCAATCTCTCCAGACGAGGACCAAGCATCCGTTCTCAACGACTCTGTTGGCAACTTTGATTCTTCCTCACTCGTACGATCCTGCTCTTTCCAGGCCCTTGTGGACGCATTGATCATTCGCGCTTCGGCTAACTCCAAATCACGCAGTGCGAAAGATGGATCTTCCAGCGGTCGATAGCTTAGTGGCTCACGTGTGATTAGCTCTTTACGTCCTCCGGGGATGAGAATGCCCAGACGATGATCATTGGTTAAATAGACACGGAACCACTCAGCAGAACTCTGAAAATGAGGAAATAAAAGCGAATTTTTCAGTTCCACGTACGCGCTATGGTTATCACGAAAATGAAGCAATAGACATTCGAGCGTTAAAGTGGACCGTTAATACAAAATATTCGTCCCGGAGTTTATATACTAGCTAAGTGGATGAATCATGCAACATACTACCCCAGTCACAACTTAGGTGGACCATTCGAACTGTAACAGTCATGAGTTCCAATGAGTATAAAAGAAAAGGTTCACTTATAAAGTTGTATTTCTTTTTTGCTTGCAATACAATCAACCAAAGGTATGCACACCTTTGCAAATTTAGTGTGAGAAATCAAATTGTCTGCTCAAACACTTGAGCGTACAAATGGTTTTCTGTTATTACAGAGGCCCAGCACAATTCTGTCGATTGCCGTGAAGATATCATTGATTGAACACCAACAGTCGTGAAGCATCTTGTCTGCTTACTAGCTAGATCTGAATCATTACAAGAAACACTAGTGGCTGGGAAAACCCTCCGGTAATAATATTATCCGTGTTGTCCAAAAGTCATCAGTAGACAAGCTTCAACATGTGTGGCAAATTATTTAGGCACATGTTAACCATTTTCCTGTTATTGTATTTTTTTTATCTCAAAAGTGATTTTATTGATTCCATTAATTGATCTTTTGATGTATAAATATCGGTATGGATGGACTGATGAATTTCATGATACGCAGTTCACACGAAACGCGCAACCGAACGGTCACAGTTCATATGAATCACAGCAGTCTCACGACGCCGTTCTCATCTTATATGCCCCAGGTATACCACCCATGGTTATAGTGAATATCGATAACTACACATTTGAAACATGCATTCATACCTACATTATGTAACATGATGTGGCATGCATGAATGTGAAAATACTATGAGCTGTAACATCGGACACCTGTTGCACGATCAGATCAACTGTCAGTTCAACCATTCAACCCATTTTTTCTCTCTATTTATTTCAACCGGTTGTTTCTAAGAGAACCACATTTATAGTAAGAGGGATTAAATACGAGTTCGGAAATCAAACAGACGGATTGCACTCCTCTTAAACATACCAACTGTACGCGTAACAGATCCACATCCTCCGTGATTGTTCTCAACGGATTGAATCGAATGGTCATACTGACCCCGGGATTGAACGGTGAACCCATTTTGGCATGATCCAGCTCCAGTTGTGTGTAAGCATCGTGCGGGGTCAATCGCAAACAGTACTGTGAATCCGGTTTTGTATTTTCCTGCAAAGTGGATTTGAAAAACATCAGTATGCAACCCACATTGGTGGTACCTATGAGCACTGCTTACAACGAATTGCGATAACACCGATAAATAACTAAGCGTGCCAACGGGGCCCGTGACACAGCTGATAACTGCGATCAGGGCATATTCACATTCATCGAGGTTTTTCTCAGGGTTCATGAGGTCTCTTTCATGTTTTAAAAAATGCCTTTAGGGAACGCATAGTCTTGTGCCTTTCCCCACTGTTCTTGTCACTGTATTCTCGTATGCGTGTGAAATCTATCATCCTGGACAATGAGCGAATTGTGGAATCATGGGTGTATAGCTTCTTCGTGGGAATAGAAAACTTTATTTTCAAACCTGCCAAGTTTATGCGTGGAAACAGACTGCAAAGCAGTCCGACTGCAGCGGTCATCGGTTTGACTGGGTGGAAAGATATTTTGACTACTCCGGACATGTATACTGAGTCTAAACTATGTGAGATCTGATTAACGAGACACGAAAGCCTTCCCCTTCCAACCTAAAATAGCGGTTTTCACACAGCGCCAAACTAATTTTGCAGTACAGGTTTCGCTTAGCGGAAAACACCGGTTTTGAGTCTTGACTTCGGTAACACGTCAATTGTGAGTTCTGGATCGACTCATAAACCAATTTTCAGTGTATAAACATTCCTGTATAGCGGTTTGCTAGGTACATAATATGAAACCAGATTATTATGCAAAACAACATGTGTAGACCATAACTGAGGCGCAAAAGATTGTCGAAAAACAAAGGCAAATTCAGGAAAATGAACACCAAGCCTAAGATTATCTTATCTTGATGGTGCGGGTGGTCTGGTGGTAACGTCACCANCGGGGGACGTATGTTCGAACCCCACCACAACCGCCTGAGTGTCCCCATGGCAACTCTTTGATTCGCCGCTTCCCCCTTCCTGAAAACTGTATCATTGTGTATAAAAAGAAGTAAAATTAAAAAGAAAAAAGAATTGAACGAATGAATGCGTGCTGCGACAGACGAAAGAACCAATTTCGATAATCGTATTTAGCAACTAACTACTGCAATATTTGTCAGTAGTCAGTTAGTTATTTCGTGTTGATGGTTGTTACGTACATGCCAGGTTTTGTGAACGAACCTCAATACTTACCTTTCAGCATACTGATCTTCAGTAAAATTTACTGTTAAAAGATATAATGATCCTTGCAAGATTACCGATCTTTATATCCCCATTTAATCATTTCCTCAGGGTCTCTTAAAAGGTCTCTCTAGGTTCACGCCACACTAGCCACAATGTGTAAACCCTCCTGAACGGTCAAATTGATTAATCGGTTGCAAATTTTGCTGATGTGAGTTTTGCCCATGGATGAGAATTAAGAGTCATACAAAAGCTTACATGTGTGTGACAGCGATCGACTGCATTTAAATTCACTACTGACGATCAATGAAGTAGTCAGCTGTTAAATACGACTATCGAAAGCAGCTTTGTATCTTTGGTCCTGCACTGTTCTGACAATAAAGAGTATGAATAGAAAACTATTGAACTTCACACCCTGCATATGAACATCACTTCATCCGTCTGTCTCATGGTTTGAACCATTTTCTGAAACATCCTCATATCTAACTCAGCAGAGGCATGTTCATTGATCACATTCACTCATTCTCATTGAACACTTCCGAAAAAACATTCACCAAAAGGGATGATTTTGTGCAATTCCATTTCCGAGAAACTCACCACAACAAAACTTTCTCCACGCTGACGCAAATCTGTAAAATAGGAATCTCCAAACTGATTGACCGGTGTCATCACGTAGTCATCCAAATAGAGATCTCCATCTCCTCCGGTTTTATCCTTGCCCAGACCAATACGACCTCTGAATGGATTGAGCGTTAGTCCCAGTCTGTGTGCGTGCGTGCGTGCGTGCGTGTGTTTTCAGACCAAAGGGCAAAAGATGAACAAAACAAAACAAAACAAAACAAAGTCAGTTATCGTCTAACATTCTTTGTTAGGCTGAAATCGGACAGGTGATGTTCGATAATATTCAGTTTCCAGAACGCTTTCTCAATGGGTCACTTACACTTATAACTCGACCCATGGTGGCGCATGCGGTTGATCTGGCTGATCTGGTTAACTCTACCGTAGTTCAATGCAAAAAAACACAGAAAGAAACGAGCACACGTTGTCATTGGGGTCATTTTCGTGGGTAGAATTACATCGTCCGGGTCTTGGGCAGCGGTAGCAGTTGCGTCACCATTTGTCAACCACATCGCTGAGATTTTCAGTCTGAGATTGTGCGGAAAACGTTCTGTGGCGCGTTTCTCTCTCTCCGAAACTTCATAAATTAACAGGATGGTCGGCTTGGACAGCCACCAACTTGGCTATTACTTATGAGAGAAAAAGTAGGTGTCATAGCAGTCAGGTATGAGTGGAAGCGTGGAAATAATTGTACCAGTTTATAGTTCAGTTTAGCATCTGCTGTGTTTTTTTGGTATACACATTTTAGTTTCTTTCGTGAATCTTATCAGAAAACAACTAGAAGAACGTTGTCACCAAAAATTGTTCCGGAGAACAAGGGTTTATTGTTCTATCAAATACGGGCGAGTTGAAAGGAACGATCTCAGTTGGAAAACCGTAGTGTTTCCTGTGACTATTCATATTTCAGTCAGCATTTTTCAGCCTCTAGTGATCAGCTTTTCGCAAACACTCAAGTTTGTTTACTGAGAAGCATAAACGCATATCCCCAAAACTAAGCAATGCGCTTCTCTCTATCCAATTACAAAGTTTTACTTTGAGATATCGAAATGTGGGAGTAATTTATGAACTTATTAACAAAACACACTGGCGACATGTATGATCATATACTACTGATCCAGTTGATTTTGCCTCTTTCAGTTTTGAAAATCACAGTGGATGACTTGCAGGTTGAATGTGTTACCGATTGGTTGTTGGGACGTATCTTTGTGCACATGAGCGAATAATTTGATACCAGGTATTCATAAATATGGTCAAAGGCGGAACAACAAAACCGACAACAGCGATAACAGAAAACTTGTTGACTGTTTAGAAATAAGTAGTACAGTTCATCCATTCGTTGGTTTTACTTTCATTTCGGGAATACAATGCTGCTAACTCAGACAACTATGATTACCAGATTAAGTACAAGCGCAGTTTATTTCTTAACCGATGTGTGAACGACGGTTTGGGCAGAATTACCTATATCAGTAGGGAGATAGAGACGTAATCAGATACAATAGCTGAGCTAGTAACTTAAATTTTACTTGGAACATTTCGATCAAATGTCATTCTGCAAGCGTCATGGGTCGGTGGTGGCCGATTGCTAAAGGCCACTGAACTATCGCCCCGCAAAAAGTGTGTCCCAGTGCGATAGCCACTGGAGCTTCTTGTGCCGGTTCTCCGCAGTCACTCTTGCTGAACGAACACACTCAACATACTAATGACATCAATAGTACAAACCGGCAAACATCAGAGTGATATTTGTAGTTTACATAAACTTTAGTGAATACAAAGTCATGCCGTATTGAATGGATTAAACGATAAGACTGGCGCGTAATTTTGAAAGAAATAGTGCTCTTAGTAATTTGGGGTGAAACTGATGAGGTGCACTTACTCAGCCACACGTCGCCTCAGAGAATAGTGCCCGGGTGGAATACTACCAATAAAGAGAATGGTGTCCTCGTGGCACTCGGGAGTTAATAGTTTGTCCAATCGCCACACTTTCTGTTGCGGATAATTCAAACTGATCGATTCGACCACTTTGTCCTTGCCACTTTCCATGAACGCGTTACGTCTCCAACGCGAGTGACCGTAGTTGTTGGGCGAGGCTACTGTGGCTCGCAATACGCGACGTCGCATTGTCTCACCGGCTTCCAACAGATCGGATGAATGTATCGATCGATAAAGCTCATCTCCAGCCCAACGAGTCGCTCTCGGTCGACCGTCTACCCATTCGATTGTCACACCAAAGTCCTGTAGGTGAGAATTACGTGAACGATAAAAAGTACAGCTTGACCGTTGGGACACAGAAACTACACAGTGAATAAGGTGGTACGAAGTTTAGACAACCATAAGTAAAGATCAAAGGACCATAAATAAGCACACTTTGCCAGGGGACGCACTATAGAAAAAAAAGATTTTAGCAACTAAATGTTGCTGTTGTCTGAATTTAACATCATCACACATTGTAAGAAAAACACGGTAGCAAACAAGCTCGTTNAAAAACACGGTAGCAAACAAGCTCGTTCAAGCACGCATAAAAGCGTACTACTCTTACACAGTTTGTTATCTTGCTCGCTTTATATCCCATCCGGATCATATTTTCACCAGATGGTGTAATAAAGCAAATTCACGACTTGACTTGTTGGTGGTGCTGGCACTTCATCTACAGGCCAATGCATCACAATTTATCGCCCCCCCCCCACTATGAAAAATTAATTATTCCCACTGCAAGGGGCCGTACTTTTTTCAGTCGAAAGACATACACGCTAGTGATTTCATTTCAACTCTGCACCCAACACATTTGTGGTTCAGTTTACTCATCCTATCATCTACCAGTGTTCTTGAACTTCTCGTACTGTCCAGATTTCACTTTGGTATCTAATACATTCCATGGTCGTATCTGTTCGGACGAGGCCCGAATACTCCTTTTGAGCTACTCATCCATACACTCACACACATACAAACACCACGTGTTGGTCAAACGCCTAACAGTAGTGATGCTCGTATAAACACAACCATTTGATTTCAGACCCGATCACCTTGAGGCCCAAACACTTACACACTTGCATATGACTGATTGGGGCCTCAGAAATCCTCAGAATGATCCGGGGTGGGTGTCTAGGGTTGCAGCTGGTCATCCTTCCCTTGCACCTCGCCAAATGCTCCCATATGACCAAGCGTCTCAAATAGCCTCTGCTGAGGAAGCCCTACTCACTGCCTTCTCGTGGTAGCGGAGATGTTTTCCGACAAAAAGTAAGAGGACCCAAAGCCGATATCAGGAGCTATAACCAGGTTGGTGGACAACTGATAGTTCTCTCAAGGTAGTTGGCCAAAATCCATGATTGCATATATATATATATATTTATATATAGAGTACAACAGTCATGAATCAAAACACTCCACAGAGTTATGAAATAAACAAAACGGTCTAGGCAACCCCCGGATGAGGGACGAACCTTTCGATAATCAAAGAAAGTGAATCCCATCATCCGTTCCTTCCGCGCTTCGTCCAACGGAGTCAGTTGGAATTGGAGAAAATCTTTACAGAATTGCAGATCGGTAGATGAGCCCAGTCGAGCGTAACCACCAGTTCCGGCAAAATCGTAGTAGAACAACAATTGCAACACATACTGTGGCTGAGTACTTTGTGCTGGTCTCATTCTGGTCGTCACTTGATTCAGTTTGCCNGCCCTGAGGGCGCCAAATATAGCCGTTTCGAACGAGTGGGCGATAGTTCAAACTGTCAATCGAAATCGATGCAAATAAATTTACAAAATAGGAATATTTTAGTACAAATAGTTTGTAATCAGCGAAAGATTACATATAAATTCACCCTTTAATTTCATCCATTATACAAGCGTACTTGAAGACGACGGGTTTAACAGACCCTTACTAGTGATCATGGCCAAAGCATTCAATAGTAAGACAAAGGTTCATGCATGGGCTGCGATAACCGGGGTTGGGTGTGTGTGGGACGTTAAAATGGGATATTTTATTCCCACTCTCTCTTTCTTTTCGGCAAATAAAGTCCAAGAACTTGAAATCATGATACATTCAATGCCGAACTAGGTTACACGTGACAGTTAGTCACATGACCACCAACATCGACCTTGCAATATATAAGGGCTTAGAATTCAGTCCTCACCTATTGGTAACGGCAAATTTAACCGTTCGACCATTTCCGAAAGACAAAGTTTTACTCAGTTAGAGAATAAGGTAGTACTTAAGCCCAAAATTGATTGTCATTGGTCAGAAACGTGTAACATTGGCACGGTGGATGACGAAAGTGTTTACGGTATTTGTAACTCGCATTGAAACAGAGCCACAGGACTTTGGTCCCAGCAAGACCGGTTGATGGGGAGCTTGTGAGACTGTTTAGGCGCATAAGATTGACAGTATGATAAATGACGGATCTTACATTGTTTGTTTGTTTGTGTGTGTGTGTGTGTGTGTGTGTGTGCGTAGAAAGTAGCCAGAAGGTGGCGTGAACTGGATACACGATAGGTTAATATGGACAATTTTTCACCATTTGATTCGGTTCGGCCACGCAACCGATAGCGTTCTGAGTCAACGTCATTCATCGAGAACCACCAGGGAAACATGTTCAGTGAAGATTTTCTTTCACAACAAACGAATAAGAGGGAAGTCACGAAGATTTCACCTAGCATAGTTTCGAGTCATTATCTCGGGAAACAGGTAAAAGATAGAACAGCAAAACACTATGCTGTTGATTCACAGCACACCAAATTCAGGCATTCATTAGTTAATGGTGTAAACTTCGAAAGTTTGTAAGGACGAGGAAATTCACATGATTCCATTTCGCATGTTCGCCGAACTTGGCAAATTGTTTGCAAACGTTTCATCACACCAGCCGAGGTGACATCATCAGTGCTTGTGGCAGTGTGGCAGTGTTCTGCCTGTACCCATTCGTTTATATATGCGTTCTTCTCCACCGACTATTTTCGTCCCCTGTTCTTACTGTGTTCGACTCGTTTCGCCGTTAAACTGGTGTGAGGGGAGAAGAGTGGAAGGGGGTTGTCCTTCTACCCTGATTGCGGCTTCGGTCCGTTCTCAGGTCACGGCGTGACCGTTTTTGTTGCATCATTTAGTCCTTCAGTTGCATTGCGTGTACACATGATCCAGTTCGATGTGTCTGTCTGTTTATTGAGTTTATCGAAGAGTGCCAAACCTCGAGAAAATCTCTGGTGTGCTTTGAACGGGCTCGGTCGATAATGTTCACTGATTCCAAGTCAATCTAGTGTCCTTCTTGATCTTCATGGAGGGAAATCAACGATTGTAGGTCATGCATCCTGACTGCCGATAGGGATTCACGGATCCTTGTTGACAGTTTTCTCCCAGTTTGTCCGATATGGTGTTTTGAACAGTTCTTACAGTTTATTTTGTACATAACACTCCTATTGTCCCTCTCCATTGTTCTCTCACTTGGTTTTGACAGAAGTCCCCTTAGACAGGCGATTGGTTTGTGGACAACTTGGATTCCATATGATCTGAGCAGTTTTGCTGCCATTTCTGTAAAGTCCTTGCTGTGTGACAGGGTCGTTCTTGTCTCGGAATTTCTGTTTGTTCTTTCTTTCTTTCACTCTTCAAACAACTCAATAAACAGACATCGAACTGGATCATGCATACATGCCAATGCAATTCAAGGATCAAATGACGCAATAAAAAAGATCCCGAGAAGGGACGGAAGCCGCAATCAGGACAGAAGAAGACCACGCATATAAACGAACGGGTAGGAGTAGTGGACTGCCACTTCACAAGCAATGATGATGTCACCTCTGCTGGTGTGACGAAACGTTTGAAAAAACAATTTACCAAGTTCGGCGAACAGGCGAAATGAAATTCAGTTCACCCGAGTTACGAGAACCGATTTGGAATACTTTGTCAAATCACATGATTGTTCGATAAAGTACGAATGTGCACTTCTAGAATGAATAGTCGACCACCCCGTTGTGCACGTCAGAATCAACTGATTCGTTTACTTTACAGTGAGTCTAAGCCTCCAGAAAAATTCATAAATAACGTGAGTATACCGAATGATAGTCCGAACGGAAATTCATGACTTACCGACTGGCAATTTCGAAGCACGAATAAAGTGGATGCATGACCGTAATTGATTGGTGGGGAAGAAGGCAAAACAATAAAAAAAGAAAACGTATAACTCAAAGAACTCAGAAAAATGGCAAAGTAGCGTAGGGATATGTTTTACAGTATTTGTTCAGGAACACGTACGTTTGTGTTTCATTCTGTGTGTGTGTGTGTTGTTCTACACACAATTATTCAAATGGATTGTTGAGGTGGATTCCCGGAGAGATTATAAACCGAGATGGATCCGTCAGATATAAAGTCGCACAGTTTGTATGGACTAAACATATCAACCAATTCAGACATAGGACCGGGCAATAAGACTCAACGAAACGCTTTTCTGATTGTATAGTCATGGATTTACCAATGGATCGCCGGATTTCGAACACAAGTCCCACCGATTTCACCACCGTTTTCGAGGCACCTGATCAAACTGACAGGCGATACTTAACTCCAACTCGAGCTACAATACACCGACTGATCATCAGTGGTGAGTGTTACTTAGTCTATTAAAAACAGGGATGATGTAGTAAGAGTTCAAATTCTCCCGCAGCTCATTCGCATCAGATGGCACGTGATTGGTCAGCCTGCTATCGATTTAGCCATTATCGAAAAATCTGATGTTTTATTGATCTGTATCTTAACTGTTGACCCTGTAAATTGTAAATTGTTTTAACGCAATTACGATCAGCCAGTTCCAGTTCAGTGACTTGTATTCTTCACTAACCAGAAGCCTACAGTTAAAAACAGAACTCTCGTTACTCTACTAATAATAACAGCCCCTCGTTCCTCGTTTCTCTGTCTCACTCACTTGCTTAATCTCTGGCGTGTGGTCTTTATTCTTATCGGAGATTACAAAAGAGTATGNATGGTTTTCTCAATGCAAATTTGTGTACGAACAAAACTGTTGGTTATTAAAAACAAATTGTTTCCATTCTCAGCCACGTACGCCTAATTGTGGTTTAAAAACGAATCGTTTTCTATTTAACCACATCTTAAAATATTGCCATGAGCCGATGCTCCCAGTACGGATCACACGAGAACAAATACCTTTTGGGCTTTTGGAGATTATCACTAGGTTTACTTGAAATAAAACACAAATAATCCACAACTTGGACACTGAGAAAAAATAAACTCACATCTGACAACGTAAACGCTTTGGTCGGAGGCAACTCGGTGTGGCCGTGGCCAAATCCACCATACTCATTCGCATTCCGCCCAAACGTAAATTTAGCATACACACTTCCGGTGAACCCATCGATAGGAGACGGGACCAGAATGCCTCGGCCGCATTATCACCCCACGATTCCGGACTGACTAGACGCGTTCCGGCCTGGATAACCCCACCTACACGTAGTTCCATTTGTCTATCCAGCATCAACGCAGATTCCGGATGATCAGCACCAGCCAATGTGGTCGCTTCTCGAGTTCGTGGTTCGATCGGGACTTCATCATCTTCCGGTCGTGCGGTCAGCATCATTCGAGTCTCGCCGAGGACCGAGGTGACCCGTACCTGGTACCAAATGGCCTCGCGAATGGGTCCAATTTCCACCTTGCCACCCATCACATTCCACGAGAATCGGAGGGTGGGTGCAGGTGCTTCCAGCGTGAACGCGAACATCTGTGTTCGTCCGGCAAACGCTCGACGACCGACCATGATCACACTGTTCATGGCAGTTTGGAGATCGTGCACCTTGAACCAGAATTCAATGTCAAACACACGCGATTTGGTCAAAGCATAGGGGACAAGAGAGTACACACAAGAACGACCCAATTCAATGGGTACCGGATCCTGGGCCAAAGCACCATACGTCACATCCAGCATTGAACGGGCCTCGTCAGCCAAACGTCGAAGGTTTAGCAATTTGGAATCCAATTGTTTTATGGAATTCTCTGCATCACCAATCAGTTTCACCAGATTTAGCTGAGTTGAATTGGCTTGGTCAACTGAAATTCAGTCAAAGTTGGAACAAGTGAATAAGAAACGGAAATCAAAGAAACTGTGCGCACATTCCAATGGATATATAGTTATTACCGGGTATGAATCATCCTGAATATTAGCTCCTGTTGATCTATTTACAATCCGCTTCAAACAACACTATTAAAAATCATAAATATCCGATTTTGTTTTGAAAAAAAAAACTAGATGAGAGACAATCTTACCCATGGATTGAGCAGTTCCCTGCAGTTGAGCATAACGATTCTCCATTTGTTGCAATCGATCGGCCAGATCATCCAATTTGACACGCTGGGTCTCACTTCGATCTGATGCATTTTGTGCCAATGGTTCCGTGACTTCCAACACCTGGGTGACTTTTTTTACTGGGGGTTAGAAGTGTATATCAACAGAGATTATAAGAATGATGATAATAATGATAATAATGATAATGATGATGATGCTGATGATGTTGATGATGATGATGATGATGTTGATGATATGCTCAGTCTGTAATTTATTGTTCCGAAAGGAGAAAAATCCGTATACAGATACACATGGTTCGTTCTTAGAGCCAGGGGAGTGTTGTGCGAATTTGATGAGGTTTAGAAAGTTTGGCAATTTTAGTAGTTCAGATTAGGGTATATTTTTAGCCCCTCGGATGACTATGGCGATCATGGTAATGAAGAAGCTGCTGCTATTGATTGTGATGATAAATCACGGTTACAGAGCTGCTGTGCAGTACATCTAAGTGTGTCCATCGATCGGTGTATGCCTCCAGATTCCCATTACAAACGTACAAACTGTGCACTATACTCCCACAGCAGTTATAATACTATTATTATTAGTAGTAGTTGTAGAGATGGTAGTAGTAGTAGTAGTAGTGATAGTAGTAGTCCATCTTCTCAAATAAACATTGTAATACGAGGGATGAGCAAAACGTTTCCGAATACGCAGTCAGTACACGACGAGTACGAGTTGCGGATGACCGGGCTAGGAAAACGTGAACTCCAATCTAGAGTGAATATTGTTCATTGATTGCAACTCACACAGAACTAGATATCAACACAATCGAGCACAGCTGAAAAGTCGCTATACTCGGACTGTAAGGACGGAAGAACTCAGTCGATGTCACTGGAGAACAATGCTTTTCTATGGCTACAGATGTGGTTTAAAGCAACAGCAGCAGCAGCATGGCGTTGAACGTTTGAGCACTGCCTTCAATGATGACGTGCCCTCAAGAAACTTTGTGTTCCCAAATGTCAAGCGCATGATGCGTGGAATCCGATACGAGTCACACAAAGAAGCAGTGGAGGTTGGTCATTGAACTGGTCGAAGGGTAACCCACCTCGGTATGATCAGACTGTTTCACCAAATTATTTGAGCACATGCAACTGTATATGAGCGCTTA